ATGATGCAAACTGGATTCTGTTCTAAAATCTTTACGTGACAAACCAACTTTCGGCCCTGAACAATGCCAGATAAAGAATATAGCAAATATTGAGACTATTTTAAGAATTGCTGTGGGAAAGACATCAAATCAATGATTCAGGTATGCACATTTGTGGATGCAGTAATTAGCATTATGCCATCAAAAATAGTAGCCTCAAATCACAAGCCACTGGTTGAGTATAAGGAAAAACTACAAACGGAAAGGATTTACTCCAATTTAGGAAATTTGCTGCAAATCCCCTATAAATACTGTTATTTCCTAAGATTTCTTACTGGAAAATCTGCTTTCCCCATTCATAAGGAATTGCTTGGGGAACATCATTCAGGCATCATTTAATCAGAAAAAAATTAAATCGCTATTCTTTACTATTAACAAGTGTTCCTATTCCTTCTAAGATCATGTCACATGTTATTCTGCCATATTTTCTTACATCTTGGTTATCTGTTATCACTTATATTTCCTGGCCTCCAACTCCTTATCATTTTAGGAAAGTTAAAATTATTTTACACTCTCCTAACAACCATTCCTGTTAGGAAAGAAATTATTTTGATTTATCATTACTAGAAGATCTGAGAGCATGACTGCTTCCACTCTTCTCTTCTTCTGTGCAGAGAAAGATAAACTCCATTCAAAATTATCAAGTACCAGACCCATAAACCCAGTATCATGCTATTTCCAAGTTAGTGCTATCAGAATCTAGAAGAATAAATATCAGGGAGTACATACATACCCCTACTACCAGTCCTATATAAAATGACTTATTCCCACACTGATATGCCCTTATATTTTTCTAAAAACATTAACCAATATTTGGCCTATATTAATTAATGCACAAAAATTTTTAAACAATACATGTCACTGACTATAAAGGTCACACTCCTACTGATATAGAAATTTCAGGTACTCTAGGATATCATCCAGCCTTTCTGGAAATCTATAATTTTCTTTACGTCAAGCCATGTTTATGACTAGAATATATATTAGTAATTAGGCACTTCTAATGAATACACCAATAAATATTATTTTATACTAAACAATGTCACACATGCATATAATCACATATGCACAGACTTTTACACTTGGATTACTCTTTGGTAAAAATGCCCTCTCAAAGGCTTATGTAGACATAAGATGGCATCTAATATGTGATTTACACATCAACTGAAAAGTTGGATGAGAAAAATTACCTCTAAAATTCAATATATAAAGAAATGTAAAGCCCAGTGTGGTGGGCACAAGCCTATAATCCCAACTAACCTGGAGGCTGAAGTGGGAGAATCTAAAGTTTAAGGCCAGCTTGGACAATTTAGAGAGACTGTCTCAAAATAAACAATCAGAAGTGCTGGGAACATACACGTGTTCAGCAGTGGAGTGCTTGCCTAGCATGTGCAAGGCCCTGGGTTAAGACCCAGTCAGCAAAAAGAGAGAAATGAAAGCTTCCAACACACACAGATTCAAGTAAGGAGTATCCATGTTTTTGACTTGAGTGCAGTGAGATTTTCATGTAATACAACTCTGAAAAGTACCTATAAGTTTTAAGTTTTACAGTAAAGAAAGTTCTGCCTCTTCGTATATATTTATATAATCTTCTCAACTTCAAAAAAAAAAAAAAAAGAAAGAAAATTCCATTAAAAGTACATATACACATTTATATAAATGAACAAAATTTGTATTTATAGTACATACCAGGGCACACCATTTAGTATTCACAATTTATACTCTGTCAATCAGTAGTCATTAGCAAACTACAAAAATAAAAACCATTAACTAGATACACACACACACACACACACACACACACACCACTAAGGGATCCTTACAATTAGGTTTTTAACAGTCTTGAACTGCAGTTGACAGTTCACAATTGCAGCCATTCATGGGAGTTCCTGGAATATGGCCTATAGAGATCATACTGGTCAGTTATCTATGGAAAGCAATCTCCTACTGTGTTCCTTTTAGGGCCAGTAATATTTTAAACTCTTCCCCCATTTAGAGGAGTCTGTTCAATGTATAGGTAGTAGTTTAATACAAATTCTATACCATTCACTGTAAAAGTGATACACAATTCTTTATAAAGTATATTTTCAGGCATTGTATATCCACCAGTTTACATAAAATCAATTTGAAGAGTCTCAACAACTAATCATGAGCCTTTTTAATGAAAATGTCTAAAAAAGATATCATGGTAATTAATAACATAGTCAGCAAGTAATGAAATTTGAGAACTTTTGCAATACAATCATCAGCCCTTTCAAAGGTATAACATTTAAGATACATTAATATAAGGCCTGGTCCTGCAATATAAATGACCTTGAAATTGAACTTATGGAGTCTCATATTAGGTAATGGAACCAAAAATCACAAAATAAGAGTTTTCGGCCTAAAACCCACACTAATTTTTGTTTTCCCTCCTTTTCTCAAAAAAAAAAAAAGAAAGAAAGAAAGAAAAAAGAAAAAGGAAAAAAAAAGATTACATTATTGCATTTACCAAAGCCCTAAATTTTTTAAATTTACAAATATTTCCTTGGGATATAAAGGATTTGTCAACTAGTCACAAAGTTTGTCTTAATTACTCAGGACCTCTCATTCCGATTTATTTTACTTTGAATGACTGCAAATAAAACTGTGTAGAATTTAATAAGGCAATCCAAAACCAATGTACTAAAATTGAGATTTTTTAGTAAAACTGTAGTATCCCTAAAAACAGTCATCTTATAATTTAATTTATGCCTGGAAAACTCTATGATTTCAAGCTTAAAACGTTAAAATACCCTGTCTTTTACAAAGGCTTTTGGTTTAAAAAAAAAAAAATTACTATTTCTACTTAATGGATTCAATCCTTCACCAGGTGTGTTGGTCCTGTGATAAAACGTCAAATGTGTAAGATTACATCTTGGAAACTAGCATGTTAAATTAAAAACCAATGAAAGTTTGTAATAAAAATYAGAATTGCACATTTGATAAGCAACACAAATTTTAAAAGACTGGGGAGAGGGAGGGAAGTCTCATGTTTAAAACAGGACTACACACGTATCAAAACCCTTGCACTAGATTAACTGCTGCAAACTGCTAAGAATCTATGATAGTATCTGTAGTTCAAACATGGAGTCTGTGAATGATTCTTCAGATGATCAACTTTTAACACAGTAAGGACAAACAAATGCATCTCTGAGGTCATACCCTAAAGAATACATTTCAGAATTTCAGAGATGTCAACAGATCTCTCTGCTTCAGTCCATAAAATCTCACTAAAGTTCTGAGAAGTATAATTACATATTTACAAACTAAGAAAGGTGTGATGTATTTTTCATTCATAGATATACTTGTGCATGGAAAGAAGAGGTGGTTGGTAAACCAGTCATTTCTTGAAGAGATATCGGGCAGTGCACAGAAACAGAGGTAATTAAAAGGTTATTTACCAATTTATCAGGAAAAAAAAAATTGGTGTCTTGCAACTAGAAGAGGTAAGATGCCTGTTAATTATTATCAAAGGTGAAAAAAAATGGACTCAATTTGATTTCGGGTTTGCCCCTATATGTGGAAATGGAAGCATCTATAAAAGGAGAGAGATTTTTCTAAGTGGCTTGTGGAATCAGTTTCTTTACTTGGTAGTCTCACCCATGTAAAATTTCTCAAAGACTAGCTAGCTGAGCTCACTTATGGGCATGTGGAGTTCTAAAGTGGAAGAAAGACTCCCCACAAGCAAGTCACCTATAAAAGAAGATGAACTTTGAATTACAAAAAGTAGTGAAGATAAAAGAATTTCAGTGAGCATTTTTCAAACCAACAGAAGTATATAACAAAAATACAAGGCTAATTAGAAATGGGAAGTTAAGAAAAGAATGTGAAGAAACTAAGAAACATAGGTAGAAAAAATTTTTAACATTTTACTGTATCTTTCCACATAAACCCACAAAAATAGTTTTGTTTAAAATTAATCTGGCTCAAAAAACTCTGTAAATAAATATGTAACTGTAAAATGTCTGAACTCACTCTGTAATTTTTAAATGTAATTTAAAATGTTGTAACAAGTATTTTAAAATCTACTGTATTTGTAGCATGTCAAACTTCCCTGCAATGTTTCTTCAAAACCACTAAAAACCCTCATTAAACTATAACTAAACATCAACTCTTGTAGAATGATGTAGCAACACACAATTTTCACTTAGGCCATTAAAAAAGCATCCCTTACATAGAGGGAGCCAATTATTGACATTTACACTATAAAATTACTCCCAATTTCAAGAACTACATGTTCTTTATGTTAAAAGAATTTTCAGGCCTTTCCTTTTCTATATTAAAAGGACTGATGGAAGATAAGAACATCTTTCCAATATATTTTTTGTTTAATAAAACAAAAAAAATAATATCTTAGAAAAGTCACTGGGAAGTCTCACAACCCTCTTCTATTTAAAGGTTGAACTAAGTATGATCTTTGAAGCTGAATTTGACACTTCACTCTCTCTTCAGCCTTTCCAGATACACTGGAGACCATTCCTTACCTGTATTGTTTTTTTTTTTTTTGTTGTTGTTGTTGTTGTTTTGCTAGAGGGGCAGTCTGGTTTCCCAGAATGGAAAACTTAATTCATGTTTCAGCACCAAAATTCACACTGGTAAAACTGCCATAGTGCTCAAGTGTGATTAATATCTAACAAAAGGACAATCCTTTGGGAGCATACTAGCTACCACCTCTAAATTATTAAGGTTACACTGAAATCCATATTTGAATAAAGTGTTGCATCCCTACCCATTTAAGCACTTTTTAAGAAACCGTGACAAGCCCAGTTCTCTCATTACAGGCTTTTACTTAAACAATTTAAATCAATTTTAGTAAACTAAATATTATATTTAAAAATAAAGAGGCCTCAATTGAAAAAAGAAAATTTCCCAAAGCTGCAGCCTATGCTATGATGTTTGGCCAAGCATTCCTGCCAATATTTAAAATAAGAGTTCCATACCTGTCTTCATCACCATCAACAGGAATAGCTATGCTGAACACAGAGGTGGCGAGGTTGTTCATAGGTGTTAACTGGAGGGGGTTGGCCAGGGCATCTGCAACAGGAGGCTTCACAACAGGCTTATTTTCAGCAATGAGAGAAAGTGGTGGTTGAGGTAGGGGTTCTGATTTTCTTCTAGTATCGTCAACTTGCCCGACTAAAGGCTGGGTCTGAGTCTGAAACTGGCTTAGGTCAGACTGTGGTAGACTTGTTGGTGCGCTGTGAGTGCCTTGGGCTAAGGGCAGCCCAACATGCTGAAGGAGGCTGCTGCTCCTGCTGACTGGCGTATGGCTGCTCAGCTGCTGCGACTGGGCCAGAGGCGCGGGTACATTTGGCATAGTAACAGAAGTGGTAGACGACACACTAGGCACGCTTGGAGCGGGCAACGCTGCAGGCACGTTTGGAACTCCGGGCACCACGGTGTGAGGGCCACCAGGCACGGCTGACAACTGACCACTGCCACCGATCTGCGGCGGAGGCACCGACGGGGGCTGCCCGGGCCCCGCAGGACCCATGCTCTGCTGCACCACGCCTCCCACAGCAGCCGGGGGCACACCAGCTGGCTGACAAGCCGCGGCCTGCCCGCCCTGCGTAGGTCCCTGCCCCGGAGCCACAGCTTCACTGGGCTGAGGAGACGCAGTTACTAGCTGCGCGGCCGCCGAGGCGGCGTTCTGGCCGGCGCCCAGGGGAAAGCTGGCCGCGGCGGAAGGGGTCGCTCCGGCGCTAGTAGACGAGGGCTGCGCTGGGCTCGGCGGCTGCAGGCCGGTCACGTGCTGCTGCAAGTACTCACTCTGGCCGGAGGGCTGGGCCGGCAGCAAGTGCCCAGGCGGCATCTGAGGCTGGGGGTACGAGAAGTGCTGTGGGTGCTGCGCGGCAGAAGCGCTGCCGGCCGGGCCAGGCTGCGGAGGCAGGGGCACAGCCGGCTGCGCCAGGGCTACATTCGTTGGCGGCAGGACCTGTCCCCCGGGCCCCGGAGGGGCGCCGCCCGGCCCAGCCCCCTGGAGCTGGCTTGGCGGTGCGGCTGCCATCATGGGCTGCGGCCCGGCAGAGGCTCCAGCGAACGGCGGCAGCGGAGCCGAGCTTGGAGCCACAGCCCCACCTACGGGCGGCGGCGGCTGCGGCTGCCCAACGCTGAAACTCTGCGGCGTGGCCGGAGCGGGCTGGCTCATCTTCTCCGACGGGGGTGGCTGTGACACAGCGGTCGAGGAGCTGTCAGTTCCCGAGTCGGGCCCGTGCGCCCCCTGCATGGAGGCCACAACCACCACCACCGACCCTCCGGTGGCGCCCAGGCCGCTGTCCCGCTCAGCAGTCTGGTCGAAGGTATTGCTATGCCGAATGCAGTCCCCGGAGCGGGTCAGGACGCTGCTGTCCGAGTCCCGCTCGTAGTACTCCATGCACGTCCATCGGCCGCGGCGGAAGGGTTCCCCGCTGCCGTGGTCCAGCTTGATCACACGGAAACGAGAACTACAAGTGGTGGGGGGCTGCGCTGGAGGGGCCGTCCCTGGTCCGCTGGACGAGCCCGCCACTGGGGGGCCGCCGGGTGCTCCCGAGGTGGGGGCCGAGGTGGCGGCCGCGGCCAGGGAACTGGCGAGTGCCCCGGCCACGCTCCGGGCTGAAACCGCTCCTCCTCCGTTGGCGGGCGCAGCCGCCGCGGCCGCCAGTTGCCCGTCCAGGAGGAGGTTCGGGGAGACAGTCCCAGGAGTCTCCGTGTCCCCAACATTGTTGAGCGTCTCTTCAGAGGAGCTGCGCTCGCAGACCTCCTCAGGGCCGTAATCCGTGGCTCGGGAAACGTCGAATATCTCGGAGGAAACGTCCTCGGTGCGTGACTCGTCCGGGTCGTCCAGACTCTCGGTGTCCTCTGTGATGCTGGTGGCCACCTGGGCAGTGGTGACACTGGTGATTTGGAAGCAGCTCTTCTTCTTGGCCGGCATCTTGGACATGGTGAAGAAGGCTGGCGAGCAGCGAGGACCGCGGCTCCTCGGGGATCCCACTGGAAACCGCGGAGGGCAGCGCAAGGCCCGCAGACAAAGTCCAGTTCRCGCTGGTGCGAGGCCCGCCGCCCTAAGAGTCACGGGCCGCTGCGGCCGCCGGGCGAGGCATCCTCCTCTCGCTTCCTTCTCGCCTCCTGCGGCGGCTCCGCCTTCCTTTCAGTCCCGCGGCCGCGGCGCCGCAATTCAATCCCAGCGACGGCGAGTGCGGCGGCAGGGGCGGGACCGCGGCTTCCTCCGGGCGCGGGCCGCCGCGGTGTGTCCAGCTCGGCGCTCGGCACTCGGCGCGGCCGCAGGCCCGGCGGGGGCGGAGTGGGAGGCGCGGGCGGCGGCGGCGGCGCGAGGGGCGGCGCTGTCCCGCTCGGGCTGCTCCGGCGGCGGCTCGAAGGAGGGTCGGCGGGCGAGAGCGGAGCCGCGGCCCGCCCTCCCGGCTCAGCCGGAGCGCGGCCCCAGAGACATGTCGCCGTCTCCGGCGGAAGCCCGCTCCGGGGGAGGGAGGCCGGCGCGGTCCTCCCCTGACGGGGGAGCCACCCGCGGGCGGCGGCGGCGCGGCCTCCCCTCGCGGCTCCCGGGAGAGAGAGGGGCGGCGGCGGACGGCGGGCCAGCGGGCGGAGGCGCCCGGGCTGCGTGAGGGAGCGGCGGCGCCTCCCGGCTCCTCCTCAGCGAGCCCGCCTCGGAAACGCGGAGAAACTGAAATTCAAACTGCTGAAGCGGCGGCTGCAGCTCCCTCCCCTCGGCCAAGATGGGGCTGAAATGGCCGCGCCAGGGATGCTGGGAGGAGCAGCCGCAGGCCCGCTGCCGCCGCCGCCGCCGACTAAAATGCCGCCGCTGCCGCAGCCGCCGCCAGCGCCGCAGCCGCCGCCGTTCCGTGACGCACCGGCGTCGTGACGTCACCGCCCCGCCCCCTCCGGTTTCCTGCGGAGCTGCGCGTGAAGGCTGCGGGGGAGGGAAGTGGGCGGGGCCAGGGGTTAGAAAAGGGGAGCGGTTTCTTTATTTAAAAAATTTTTAAATTTAAAATGTGCGCCGCAGGTTCCTTGAGAGTTGAGGAGCCGGAGGCAGCTGCCATTCCCAGCCTCGAGGAGCGTCGTCGGCTGTCCCACTCCGTGGGTGGCGAAGCTGAGGCCGGAGGCCGGGTGTGCCCCGTCAGTCTCCGCGGAAGGGTCCTGAGAAGTGAGTGCCAGAGGCACCGGCCGTCGCCTGACGGCAGCCGGCCAGATCGAGCCCGAGCGGGCCCCTCGGGCTGGAAAGCCTGCCGCCCGCGGTGGCTTCGGGGCCGCTGCCCGGGCGACGTGGATTCCCGGACGGGGAGTTCCCGGATCCGCTGGGTTCCAGGAGGAAGAGCCCACTTCAACTCCTGAAGCTTTTTCACTTTCAGCACGAAGTCAGCTGTGGGTTTCGTGGGCGCTGAACCTGCAGTGCTCAGAGTCGCAGGTCTGCCTTTTGTTTACTCTCAAATCCTAGCTGGAGCCGGGACGTCGTGGGGTCCGGATTGGGCCACGAATGACCCTGCTGATCAGACAGCACCATTCCTGGTCCTGGCAGAGAGCAGCTATGAAAGTACTGTGATTCGATTATCTCATAGCTACTTTCAGTAAAAGAAGGTGGTAAGGCTGTCCTTTTAAACAATGGTGGCTCTTGAACTTTGACATACCAAAGCAGTCCTCCTTTAGGTAGGACCCAAGAAAGCTTGATGGAAATCAAGAGTTCATCTCTATTGTAGCTTCAGAAATCACATCAAGACTTASATAAATCAGTACATCAACCGTTCTAATCAGTTCTTTGAAAAATAATAATCTTTGAAAAATAAAAAGACTTTTTATCCCAAAACATGTTTTGAGAATTAAATTTGTACAGAATTTGTAAAGTCTTTAGTTGTATTTATAGAGATAGTTTTTTTGTTTTTAACTCAGTATGTSCTTCAAACCCAACTGACAGAGGTCAGGATGTGAAATAAGACCACATAATAACATCCCTGTTTCTTAAGGGGGTAGGAGAGTAAAGAGACAAAGTGTAACATTATGCTGCTATTGTGGCAGAGATAGCTAATGGAATGTTTCATTTCCAAATCTGCAATTTTACTTATTGTTAGAGATAATTTTTCATCAATAAATTAGATGAACTGATTAAATCCCATATGAAATTATAAAAAAGTTAATTTAATTTTGAATTGATTTACCAGATTGTTAAAAGTGATTTTTAATGGGTGGTGTTGACTGGGAGGTTTTTGGAAAAGTAAATATCATATGCCTGTTTGTTCCATTACATTATGTTATTAAACTTCTTGATTATTTGCCATGATACTCTTAAAGCACACATTTAAAGGGGGAAAAAGTAATCTGTAAGACCATGTCTCCTTAAAGAATATCTATAGGATTTATTATGAAATGAAAGTAAAGATAAAGCTAATTTAAGAAAAATCAATAAGTAAGCTACATTCTGGTACAGAGAGGTTAAAAGACATTTTAGGATTATAAAATTTAAATGTTTCACATAGCTACTTAAGGATTTGTGTGCATGTGTGTGTGTGTGTGTGTGTGTGTGTGTGTGTAAACTAATAGTTCTCTTTGAACATAGTGTTTTCCAGAAGTTTAAAGATCTTACCTTCTTTCGTATCTTGTTCTTTAAAAATATAGAACTCGGGAGGCTGAGAGAGGAGGATCACTTAAACTCAGGACTTTTTGAGGCCAGGCTGGGCAACACACTGAGATCTTATCTCTTAACTAACAAAACCAAAACCAACCAACCAACCAAAAACCAAAACAAAACCCTGGTTTAAAAAAAAAAAAATGTAGAGAATTTATTACACTGATCCATTAGGATGAATTGATAAGAATTCTGATTGTTGCAATAAGTTTGAAATCATGTACAGAGGACTAAAAGTGGTACTGCTATATCCAAATTACAAAAGGACATCCAGTTCATAGTTGGTCCACAACAAACTAAAAACCTTCAATAACTAATCAAAATGACAGAATGTGGGACAGACACACAAGTACCTTGCTGGGTGTATATAGACAGTTGTTAGTACAATGGGACCTGACTCACTGGAACTGGAGAGGTGCCAGTACAATGGGACCTGACTCACTGGAACTGGAGAGGTGCCTGGAGACCCCAGCGCCAAGGCTGGGGTCTTAATGCAGCTACCCTGACTTCACACCTGCACCCACAAACCCTAGGTGAGGCTGAGGAAATCCTTGATTATGGCTTCCAGAGCTCCAGCTTGATCATTTGTCCTACATCTGGTACTTCCCTCAAAGATTTCAAATTGTAGCAGATTATGGGAAGTACATTTAGGAAGAACAATGTGGGGGAAAACCCACTAAAAAACCAAGGACTATTTTCACTGATGAAAAAACACTACTTCAGCAAGATCTTCTCATCATTCATAAACATCATACCCTTACACTACTAGGTTATTATCTAACCATATCAGTACCAGATGGTGAATTATAGTCCCAAGATCCTGAAATCTGAGTTACAGATAGAGATACAGAAAACCTGATTGCCCCCATGATACTTATTATATTTAAAATAACAATGATATATTAATCTAAACACTCTTGAGCCAGCGAAAAGAAACGAATACTATTTTGGTAGAAATTAAGGAACTGGCTAGGCTAAGAGAAGTCAACCTTTAGCATTTACGCTGTCAGTCATACAGTGACATTTACTGTTCATTCCCTGCATATATTAGGAACTGGGCGGCCTATATCTTGGCCATCAAGTTTTTCTGGGGTTTAGAAATAGTTTACGTTTTCATCACCAAATTGTTGGAATAATACAAAGTGAAGGAGTCATTTTCAGGTTCTGAAAAGCATTGCTAGAAGTAAATCTCAGTTGTCTAAATAAGTAGTACTTGATCTGTTTCTGTGATTTTCCTTGTGTTCCATTTCTGGAACAATATCATATTAAGAAACCCTTGCAGTGAGACCATCGTGTGATATTATCCAAAAATGAAAAAAAAAAAAAAAAAAAGGGCAGTGAAAGAGAAGGCAGGCTGAAGAAACTCCAGGACCACTTTATGAGGAGAGTGCAATCTGATGGAGGTGTGCAAAGTCTTACTTGAGAATGAGGTGTTTAAGATTTTCACATTTAAGAAAACTTCTGTTAGACTCACTTAGAGTTTGATAGACTATGAAATGATGATGTCCTTTTTTCTTTTCTTTTTCTTTTTCTTTTTTTTTTTAATAATGAAGATTTCCTTGAGTCCCATGACTTTTGAAGTCCAGGCAAAATGTACTACTTGGGTGGAAGAAAAGGGTGCATTTTGAAATAATAATAAATACAATGTCCTTTTACAGCCTGTTTTATTTCATCATGAAATTTGGTTTACAATCTTAGAAAACTAAAATATTGGTCCTCCATAGGACTTTAGCGTCTATCCTAAATGCTTCCCTGTAAGGCAACATGAGTAGAAATCTGTTAATGACTCCGGTACTTCCTCTTTTTCATATAAGGTATGATACCTCTGGGGATAAAATTAAAGAAATCTACATGGCCTAATTGGAGAGGTCAGAAGTAAGCAAATTTTGCCTTTGCTCTAAATATGTTTCATGATTGCTGATGAGTCTTTTAGCCCCTCAGTGTCCCCATTCCTAAAGAGAAATAGTATTGTAGTGAAGAGGCATTCCAGTACAAAGCCTCCAAAACAGTGTGTGTGTGTGTGGGGGGGGGGGATAAGCCACATGGCAGCGCTTTGTTATCTTTGGAAGAAAAGATAACAATTCCAAGGGATGCTGATGGAAGTACCGTTTTCAACACCATTTGTTAAATTAAAAAAGAAAGCCGTCACTAGCTATTTGTGATTAGTTGTTCTGTCATAGATGAGCTAGCTGTTAGCAGATCTGCAATGGCATATCCTGTGATACAGCGAAGCGTCACTGTGTATTCTTTCTTGTATATCAATTTGCTGTATTCACAGGTGTGATTATGTATTGCTTACAATGATGGTATGCCTGTAATTTTAAGTTGTAACTTCAGCACTCATGGAAGAACATTGAAAGACATTGCTAATTTCTAGACTTCTGGGTTATGAGTCCTTCTGTATGTTATTATTATCAGCTTACACTGATTTTTTTTTTAAAAAACATGTTTGAATGTAGAAACTTGTATGAGTTGAATTTAGATGTGAAAGAGGGTCCAGATGTTTCTGACTGATAATCTGAAGGTCACTCTAACCTGGCTGATTAGGTACCAAGTATTGAAAGGCAAAGATAGACTTGACTACCCTGTATTTCCAGTTACATTTTAATTCCAAAATAACTAGCTCTTTAGTCACTGAAAACAAAACACTTT